CTAAGAGAAATAAGATTTTGACAATCTAACTTTTCTAATAACCTATATGAATCTGAAGGAACTTGTGATGAATAAACCTTTATTATATGATTAGAAAGTATAATCTCTCAAAAATTTAATTCTTTCTTTGACAACAAATAACCATATGTTTTGATAAGAGAGCTGGTAGAACTCCAATCATTAATTTTTGAATGAAGTTTATAATATAAAATATCTTGGTTTGTTTCTAAAATAATTTCTTTTTCTTTAAGTCTTGCTAAAAAATAGGTTTCAAATTCTTGTTTAAAAAATTTAGATATCAATCTCAAATTATCAATACGTTTTTTGGTATCAACATTTTCAGATATGTTTTTACAAGTGTCATAAAAAATGGATTCATATAATGATTTGAAAACCAACAAAGAAATCTCATTAGGAAACATATTGAACAAATAAAAATCTATTCAGTATTAAACTGAACAGATAAAATTTATTGAAAAATATAAAATATAAAAACATTATTTAAGCTAAGTGCCAATTATAATTTTTTGAGATTGATTCATACATTTCCTGATAAATTTTATTAGAAGCTGAATAAAATTTATGTTCAACTATGTTTTTTAATTCAGGATCTGATTTACGATCAAAAATTCTCTGAATTTGTTTTTTGGTAGTTTTGAACTCTGTTTGGTAATGTTTAAATTCGAAATTTTTCAACTCTTCTAATTGAATTTTCAATGCTAACTTCATGTACATAGAATAATGATTATTATCACCATTAATAGCATGTACATAACTATCAAAGATTGACAAAAGTCCTGACAATCTTGCAAGTTCTTGAGTTTGTTGAAATAAATCTGACATTTTATATGTAAATCAATTGTTTTTTTTTTAAGTTACAAAAAGAAAAATCTGTTCAGTATTAAACTGAACAGATATTAGTAAGGAGAAAATTGTGAAAATTTATCTACTTTATTTTTTTTGATAACTATCTTACCAATAGAAACATTTTCTCCTAATAAACTAACAATATTAAACCTATCAGCTTTATAATCAACTAACTCTACATAATCATCATTATCTGATTTGTAAAACTCCTTAATAATTCCTACAAACTGATCTTTATTACAAATTTTGATATTTCTTTTTGATATATGTGCCTATTGTTTTGCTTTAAGAGTTGCAAACTTTCCTTTTTCTTTTAACTTTTCACTGTTATACATGATAATTCCAAGAGAATCAGATGCAAATCTTGAAATAGCTGATTCAAAAACTCGTACAATTTGAACAGGTATAGGCATCTCAGTGTTTTTACATTGAACGAGAATAAGTTTTTGCTTATATGTTATGATAATATCAATACCATTATCTCCATAATTCACTTTAACATCAAAAGCTAATAATCCAAAATCTTCAACTATTTTTCGAATAATTAGTTCAAAATTATGACCAGATTGATAGTTTGTTATCTAAAATAAAAAAAATATAAGTACAAAAATTCTCTTCACCAGTGTTTGCAATACTAGCATCTCGAAGATATAACTCCATTTCTGATATCAGTTTCTCACAAAATAATAGAATATAACTTTAGCATACATAAGTATACATTCAGAATATACTCCTATTTTGCTATGGCAGCGTAATTTGAATTCACAAATACAAAGTAAAATGGCATGGCCAACTTACTTTTTTTTCTTTTTCGGCAGTAGTCATTTTTAGTTTACATAGTTAAAAATCCAACTGGTTATTAAACTAGTTAGATGATTTATTTAATATAATAAAAAATATAACAAAAATAAAAAAATAATAATAAAATAAAATAAACTATTAAAGTGGAAATAGAGATGATATTGTAGATTCAGGTTCCTCAGGATCTATTTTAACTTGTTTTTGAGATAATTCAACATGATTAATATCATTTTTACGTTTTCTATGATTTCTGAATTTTGAATTGATGGTCTCAATTATTACTGATTCTTTGAGTCTCAAAGAATCAGTAACTTTAAGATTTTTAAACTCATTGATAGTATATGCCTCCCATGCAGAATTTCTGTCAGGTTCTGTTAGTTGTGGAATTTCATCAATAATAGTTAAATAGATCACAGTTTTGAACATGATTTCACAATCTGAACAGTCAGGAAATATACAAAATCCTTCATCATATATAATAAAATGGAAATCTTTCAAATCTAATTTGGTCTTTTCAAATACTTCTCACTTGACACAATCAACAAATGATTCATAAGGTTCTAAACCACCTCCTGCTACTTGATAATATATATAATAATCTTTACTAGGATTATTTCTATAACTCATCCAAATTTTCTTTTCAGAATTTACTATCAAACATAATGCATAATATCTACATTCTCCTT